CAAGAGACAATCTAGGATTACGAGGATTACATTATTTTCCACAGTGACGAAAACTCTCCCTGACGAATACCGATTATTCTGTTTACGCAAAACAGGGCTGTTTATTCTTTCTACTGTTTCCCTGTGGCAAACTACAATAAGAGATATCTCTATTTATTAAGCAGTGAGCTTTGGGATCCTCTGGTATGCTCAATGTAACATATTTTACCATTCTCCAGACTTTTTAAACGGGACAGGGAGGAACAGAATTGTTCCCTTCTTCAAATTTTCCTCTTTATCAATATTAATGTTGTACATATCAGATAAAGAGATAATATGTGGCTATCAACAAGAAAAGCTAGAACCTTATACAGCTTCTAAAGATTTAAACTAGAATAAAGGAGATCAGGGGAAGGGAGGGAGGGAGGGGACAAAGCCATGAGAAACTAGAAAGCAAATTGTGCTGATTCTAGCATAACTTCATTAACTCAGCCTGCTTGCGGGGAGGGGGGGTATAAATCGAATGAATAAAATTAAATATAAATAAATATACACAGAGAAGCAGAAAATTACTGCTAACTACTAAGTACAAAATCACATAAGATCACTGGAACAAAGAAATGGAGCTTAAAGGCAAGTTCTACATGGTCTCCAGACTTAAAATTCAAATTTCTAAACTTCAAACATTCTCAGATATTAATATTTCTGTTTAAGATGGTACTTCTTATCAAATTAGATATCAAGGCACTGTCAAAACAGCAACTAGCTTTGGGGCAACAAAACTACTTGATGGCCATAAAGGAATGACACTTTTTCAGCCTAGCCTACTTAATGGAATTACTGGGCAGTGAGCAGCCAACAAAGTTCCTTATATATCACCATGAGAAAACCATATTGTCACAAGTTAATCCACCTAACTACTGTGTTGAGAAAATAGCAATAAAATGACCCACATAGTCTGCTGGTCTGTGGTAAACAAACAAACAACACCTGCCACGTATGATACTCCATACACTTTGGGCTTTTATATTTCCTAACAGTGTTGCTTTACACAGAGTTACGTCCTTCTAAGACCACTGACTTCAATGGATTTAAGCGTGTAGCAGTGCTTAAGCAGCCCAAATAGCCCAGTTTAGCCCAGGCGTCTGAGTTTGGAAGCTGAGCAGGATTTGGATGGGAGACCACCAAGGAAGACTTGGGTTGCCAGACAGAGGAAGGCACTAGCAAACCACTTCTGTTTGCCTCTTGCTTGGAACACCCTGTGGATGGGGTTGCCATGACTTGGCTGCAGCCCATTCTTGCCCTGACCTACATGGGCCAGGGAAGGCCAACCTCATTAGATCTCAGAAGCTAAGCAGGGTTGGATGGGTTCCTTCCAAGGAAGTCCAGGGCTGCTATGCAGAGAGCAGGCAATGGCAAACCACCTCCGTTTGTTTCTTGCCTTGGAAATCCCTCCAGGGTCTCCATAAATCAGCTGTGACTGGATGGCGCTTTCCACCATTAACCGTGCTCAGGGTGCCACGGCAAAACCCCTAAGCCCTAGCAGCTCAAACCAGTGAACAGGGTGGAATTCTAAAAACAGAGGTTTAAACTAAGGAAAATGGAGGTGTGATAAATGACACCTGCCAGAGGTAATATTTCACACTCTGGGCTTTTCTTTCCCCAAAGCCCCCAAACCTCAGGAGCAGACACCACTGAAAGCACGTAATTGGAGCAATGCAAAACGAGAGGAAGGCGGAAAAACGGGGAACAGGGATTTTTTGCAGGCAGACTCAAGCAAAAAGAGTCTGCTGGGCATCACCAGCGCGCCCTTCCAATTAAAGCCCCCCGAAGGCAAATATCCAGATAAACTTGCCCGGGGAGAAAATGAGGCTACGCGGCCACAGCTCGCTCCCACCTCCCCGCCCCCCGGGACCAACTTTCGCCTTCGGGGTGTTTCTCGTTTCCCCGCCCGCCCAGCCCCGGCCGACTTACCGCCCTTATCCTTGCCGTACATGTGCCCGGCCACCTGATGGGAGAGCGGCACGCAGCCGTTGAAGAACGGGACCTGCCCTCCATCCTCCTCTGCCTCCTCCGCCGAGGCGGCTGGGCTGGGCTGAACGCCCCGGGGGAGCCGCTCGGCCTCGGCACTCTTCGCGCCGCGCGGGGGCTCGGTGGCCATTTCCTGGGGCGGCCTCCGCGGCTGCCACATCCTCCCCGCCTTCAAGGGCCGCCGCCGCTGCTGCCTCGGCCCCCGGCCCGCCGCCCCGCGAAGGCCCGCGGCTCCATCGCGCGCCCCCGACGTCAGCAGCGCTTCCCTCGGAGAGCGGCGCAGCCACCCGACCTCCTCAGCCGCTCGGGCTCGACTGACTAAGCGGCACTATGCACGGGCAGCACCATGCAGGCACTGAGCATGCGCGCGTCGAGGGGCGCTTGCGCCTTACGGTGACTGACGCCACTAGGTCCCAAGGCTTGCCCGGGAGTTTCCCGTACAGCCATCTGAAACGTGAGGCGAAAGGGGCAGCGCTTGAATTACTCCAAGGGGAGTGAGCGCAGGGGCTAGGCGAGACTTCTGACGGCGCGTAGCCCTTGCTGTCGGTCCGTATGGGATGAACTGCGACCAGGTAGTAGTGAGAGCGGAGGGCACTCTGCTCAGGCTCAGAGACACAACTTGCAGTATTGTGGTCCTGAACTGCCGCATATTTTGTTAATCTTTAAGGTGCTACTGGACTCTTGCTGTTTTCTACTGCTACAGACTAACACGGCTACCCATCTTGATGAATCTCGTAGCAAACTGAGCCTTGGCAGAAACCTGTTCATAGTATGAGGCAGGATGCAGGCAGTCTGGATCCTGTTCCTATGCAAACTAAAGCACATAGAAGTGGCGAACAGCAAGGTAAAACTGATTCAAACAGCCCGAGACTCCCAGCTTTCGATTCTAAGCAGATAACCATAGCATAGACCTTACCTCTGGCAAGGAATGGACATGCTCATAGTTGTATCAGTGCAATGACTGTCCATAGCACGTTCCCTTAAGGTTCAATCCCTTAATCAGAGAGTTTTGGGAGAACCTGTAGATGGTTACAGCAGGACGTAGCCTCCCAAAAGTGTGGAGGGGGTTAACTTGGTCTCCACTTTTTTTTTTAATGAAAAGCCACCCACTCTAAACATCAAGATTGGGGGAAGGGTTGTGGCTCAGTGATAGAGCATCTGCTTGGCATGCAGAAGGTTCCGGGTTCAAACCCTGGCATCTCCAGTTAAAAGGATCAGGTAGTACATGATGTTGAAAGACCTCTGCCTGAGGCCCTGGAGAGCTGCTGTCAGTCTGAGTAGGCAGTACTAACATTGATAGACTAAGGATCAGATTCAGTATAAAGCAGCTTCATGTGTTAAAGATCGCTTTGGGGAGAGGAAGGAGTAAGACCTTCCTGAAACAGAACAGAAAAGACAGTGTACAGAAGTACTAAATGGAAGAATTTTGGAGAATCTTCTTTACTGCTACCAACCATCTTTTCCCGAGCAGTAAAAAGCATGGCTTACTGCCAAAATGAAAAAACATCAGCCGTGCCTATGACAACCTACCATGTGCCATATTAGTAAAACGTGTTTGATCGCAGCCATGGGATCATTCATCAAAAAGATTAGCAGTAGTATAAGCAATTTAGTAATTTACTTTCATTAACTTAGAACTGTTGAACTTCAACAGGGAAAAGATGGGTGCCCACTCTGTCCAACACTGTGTACAAATTGTGCTGTAACAGCAGGCAATTGCAGATCAAAACATAGCATCTGAAGTACTTGGTATTTAACACCTTCCCCTCATGCATTTTAGAAATGTTGCTATTGTTCCTCTGGAGCTAGAGGCAGGCTAAATTGCATCCAGGAATCAACCACATCCTCCATGCCAAGCCTCAGTTAGGAAGTCTGCTGCTGAGCAGAGCACAGCCCCACAGCTAGGAGCAGGAGGGAAAGGCTTCATGTACAAGAGAATTCACACCGTATCATCAATGTTAGGAAATGCTGCTCATTTCATGCAAATCCCTTCCCTACTGCTAGGCTTCTTTTTTTGGAACACAGAACTGTCAGCTACCACCCCTAGTTCAAATACTCCAGTTACTTCACTGTGCAAACTGAGTTCACTCCCATTTGGAACTTTTCTCACCCTTTCTAAACCTGAAGAATAAAGCTCAAACACTTAACAGCAGCAACAGCCATTAGCCCATGAAAAATTACCCAATACCTTATCTCCCTGTAATAGAGATATGCACTAATGCCAGGAACCATGCATGAATCATGCTTTTCAGAGGAATGTCCCTTCTCATCTTACAACTGGGATATTCCTGAGAAACCGTAGTGTAGTTGGTGTTACAAACTCAGACACAATAAAATAATTCTTGCATAATATACTCACAGGCCACTCACAACAGATTTTCAAAATACCTCTTGCCCGTCAGGAAACAATGCCAGAAATATTTTATCATTTTTTTGTTGTTGTTGTTCAGTCGCACAGTCGAGTCCGACTCTTCGCGACCCCATGGACCAGATCACGCCAGGCCTTCCTGTCTTCCGCCGTCCTCTGAAGTTTGCTCAACTTCATGTTCATTGCATCTATGACACTGTCTAACCATCTCATCCTTTGCGGTCCCCGTCTTATTTGGGGGGGAGGTTGCATTTTGTGTGTGTGTGTGTGTGTGTGCAAACATGCCTGTGTCTAGAAGTCATACCGACCTCTGGCGCCACCTACTGGGGCATGGAGGACTTTCAGAGAAGTGCCTTGATAGCCTGCTTCTGCCTTCCGGCTCTGGTATTCTTTGGAGATCTCCCATCCAAATACTTGCCAGAGTCGGCCCTCCTTAGCTTTTGAGATCTGACGAGATCCAGCTTGCCTGGGCTATCCAGGTCAGGGCACCCTAGAAGAAATTATGAGCACTAGCTAGCAACACAGGTAGAATGCAAACTGAGGCAGTGTTAACAGATAGAAAGCTCTTGAATGTTGATTTTTGGGCTACAATATATGAACAAAAAAGCTCACACAAACCAGAAGAGAGGACCTGGGGGGGGGGGTTGGCTTTATTCCTGAGCACGCAACACACTTCAAAGAGATTCCAGAGAACATTTAAAAGTACAGTTCCAGGTTATCATCAAATGTTCTCTGGAATCTCTTCATGGCTGAGTTCAGGAATACTTTCATCCTACTTAGGGTTTTTTCTAAGAGACTACCCTAGGTTCTCTTTTTTGGTTTGGGGAGAGCTTAACATGATGTTGTCTAGTCCCACACAGTGCAAGGCCTTCTTCAAATCTATATTTTCTATCCAGTACAAAAATGTGAAAAAATAGCAATTCGTAACAATTTGGTTTTGAGAGGGAACTTGTTAGAGCTTCTCAAGGCTCTGCTTCCTGTTCTATTGAGCCAATACAATTTTAGATTTTTGAAGGCGATGTATTGATGCCAGAAGTTATGTGTGAATCATGCTTTCACAGGAATTTCCCCATACTCTCTTGTATGAAAGCAATCCAAAATAAAGTTAAATACACTTCATTATTTCCAAACCATTGTTTGATGTTGGCAGTATCAACCTCAGCTACTGGCAATAATCAGCCCATTATTATGGGAAGGAACAGCAACTGTACTATCCTATGCATGTTTATTCATAACCCCAAACTGAACAAAGCTTACTGTTAAGATGCACAGGACTGATGAAGTTACGTTTTGGCTCAGATCTGCTTCTATAGCTTTACCTGTTTTCTGGGATACAGAATAATTAGTGAGCTGATTATATTCCAGCAACTGTAAAAATGTTATCCATCCAGAATGTGGTACGTGGACTGACAAGTACACCACACATGATATGCTTGTACAGTGTAAGAAGAGATGCTTGCGTTTTGTATACATGAGCATAAGACCATGAGTATAGGCTGGAAAGTATCTTATAAGGTGGGGGGGGGGGGAAGGCAGAAGGGTTTTTGTCCTGCAAATGACAAACATCTTCCTATTCTTACAGATCCATGGAAGGACTTGATAAAGGAAAGGGTGCAGGTAACTCTACACTCAAAATAGTTAGGAAGGTTACCAGGTACCAGCAGCATAAATTAATTTACCACACCCAAACTACGCAAGCAACTAGTTACACAACTGTGGTCCAACGAAGCTTTCTTTTTTGCACACATTCATGAAATTGTGCAGCCCTCAGGGAACACCTATTTGTATATTCCTTTAACATTAAGTGTAATAACTTGCTTTAGACAAGATTAAAAACCCAGCTGCTTAGTGATTAAGACTGCCACATTTCTATGTAATCACATCTTTACAGCAAACAGTAACTTGCTGTTTCAAAGCAGGTAAGGAGATATAAGCTCCTGACCTGGATGACCCAGGCTAGCCCAATCTGGGTGGCTAAATACTTGGTTAGTACTTGGATGGGAGACCACCAATGAAGGCCAGGAACGCTATGCAGAGGCAGGCAATGGCAAACCACCCCTGGCCCCAGTCACACGAGTGAGATAATCCGGGGGGGGGGGGGGGGGGGGGGGTTTTTTTTTCCTGAAGTTTTTTTGGGTTTTTTTTCAAAAAAATTAAAAAAAAAAAAGGAAAAAAAATAAAAAAGAAAGTTT